CATGGTGCCCCGTGTGTGTCAGAGTAGAACTGTGCTCACAGGGTTCTCAGTGGATGATGTTTCATAGGTAGATCCCACTCATGGTGTCCCATGTTACACAGGGTACTTAGTGGATGCTTTTTTGGAAGTATATCTCCAGGTCTTTCTCCAATGCCCATTTAGGTGGCCTGAAACTGCCAACCATTCATTGATCTGTAAAGCACTTCATGTCTGCATCATCAAAGGGATCCTCAATTCAGATGAGCTTTAAATTGTTTTTTTAATCGCTGCACCAGTACGTTATTGTTCCATGAAAATGAAGATCCAATGCTGTGGTTTGGGTGTTACTATTTGCCACTATGTTTTACAAAAGCAATGAACGGATTGATTCTGAAAAGTGTTCTGTGGACTCCGTTTATGAGTTTCTCTGGTGGGGTACAAGTGTCTCTTCATGCCTCTGCCTTTGTGTGAATATCATCGGAGCAATCTGTGGTCGATGACGATGCCAATTACTTTTGCCAAATCTGTGTGGTATTTTCCAACCTCATAGTGGAGCCTCCTCTTGGCTTATTTATCTGCCTTCCTTCTTTTCAATTTCCGCGGCGGATATTTCTTTATTCAGGAATCACCAGGAAATCCCTGCCTGGAATGGTGTCTGCGTGTGAATGTTTTTCTCCTCCCGTAGAGATATATATGGACTTTACCCACGTTGGCCTTTTGAACAATTTTGGTTCTCTGTTCTTCATGAGGGCGGTAACCAATCAAAGAAGCCTACATGCCCAAACTTGTTGCCATGGTATCTGTTCTGACTCTTAGCAACCACGTAAGATAGAGAAGAACTAGCTCCCAGGGTCTCCACAGCTGCCAACTGAGTCAAAGCCAACTCCTTACATCTCTTATGGAGTGGCTGCGGGGTTCGAACCTCCAAACCTTTGAGTTTACAGCCAAGTGTTTAACCGCAGTGCTACCTAAGTTCCCTAAGAGAAACACTCACTCTTACATTTTCTTCAGCTCAATTCCGACTCACCGAAACCATATAGGATAGAGAAGTGCCCCACAGGATTTCCAAGACTCTACAAAAGCAGACAGCTTCATCTTTCTCCTGCAGAAAAACTGTTGAGTTCAAACCCCTAGCTGCCACGTGCTCTAACCCTAACCCTAACCCTAACCCTAACCATGGTACTCCTAAGATACCTAACTGGCACTACGTAAAATCATACTTATTTCATCAACCCGTTAACTCTTTAAGAAATCTGCATGCTTATGTTTTTATTCTCTGTTCTTTAAAAGATCAGTTTTTCTTCGAGCATCAGTTTATCAGTAAATGATTCATATAGCTTTAACTGGATTTTTGTATTTTTTTTAAGATGTTATTAAGTCATTCCCCCTGCCCCCCACTTTTTCACAGAACATTATATATCTCAACAGATCATTGTGGTCTGTTGACATAATGAATGTAGGCTAAGCCCTCGACTGTAAACAACAAGGTTGGTGGGTCGAGTACAGAAATCACTGCTTGGGAGAAAGATGAGGATTTCTGTTCCTGCAAAGATTTACAGACTCGGAAACCCTATATATACATGGTCGCTATGAGATGGAACAAACACGAGGGCACTTAATAAGAACAATATGCCTGTCATCTGGAGAGTTGGAAATCCATATTTTTTGTTTCTTGTATTTGGTAAGGGCGAACAAATTAAGCTAATTTAGGCTAATTACTTAGTCTTTATGAGTCTTACTCTTTTTATTCCTAACGTGGAAGTTCTGTTTTGCATATGGAAACCAGGTTGACCAAATGGTTTGTAATCAGTTGCTCAAAGAAACATTGTCGATTGGAATCCATGCAGAAGTACCTTGGAAGAAAGAACTGGCAATCAATTGCTACTGATAGCTCCCTTTTTCTAGAAACGTCTTGCTTACCCTTGGAGTGAAAAACAACAACCATCTGATGCCTTTGAGAGGATTTAGACTCAAGGCAAGACGATAGAACTGCCCCATACGGCTGGTGTTGTTTTTTAAGTTTTTATTGTGAATTATGTGATAGTTTACGTGGGAGAACATTAGTTTTACATTCACCCTATCTTATATCATCTCATTGCCATGGTTATAATCCCCTCCATGCATCATCAACCAACCAAAGGGTATATACCCTGTAAGCCTGCCCCCCAGTCGTCAGCACACAGCCCCTCTCCTTCTCTGGGTCTAAAGTCCCCAGCTGCTCCATCTTTCCACGTCATCATCTCTGCCTCCATTTCAGGCATCACTGCTTCTCTGGGTAGGGTCCCGCTCTCCGCTCTTCTCCCTTGATGGTCCTAGGGACCTCCGCTCCTAGACTGCAAAGTTAATCACTCCCTCCTTTGCTACAAAACGTCTACCTTTACATTTCCAACCCTCACAATAAGTCCTGATAACAATTGTTCACTATTGTATCACAAGAGACCCATCTGCAATTCCTTTCATCAGCCCCACCTACACAGATTGGATACTACTCACTGGAGAGTCTACCTTCCTCCAGGCCCTCTGGATCTAGGTTCCCTCTTGAAAGCTTGTAAGCCAGTCACTTCTTGCCTTTGTAGGCCCCCTCCGTCCATTTTGGGTAGCCAATGTCCAAGTTGCCCCATAGTGTTTTCTTGTATATAATCTTTATGGAAGCAGATTGACAAGTCTTTCCTATGCAGCACCTCAGGGTGGGTGCGGTCAGACTTCCAGCTTTTCTTCTACCAGCCGAGCGCTTAACAGTTTGCACCATCCAAGGACCCCTCACTCCAGTCTGATCTTGTGCTTGTTTAACGAATCACATCTACAAACAGGTTTCCATTTCCAGAAACTGGAGTAGAACATTTTGGGGGACAGAGTGCACCCCAGACGACACTAGTGCTGGCCCAGAGTGGCCGAGGCTCAGGACTCTCAAGAAACTCCCTCTTCTTGTCACATTGACCACTGTCCCTCGGCAGTGATTGTCACTGCCCGGCAGTGTCTCAAAGTGGATGTCCTACAGATGCTGACCGCAGACGTGGTAGGGCGAGGAGGAGTGTGTGAGGGAGAGGGGCTCGACATCACCCACCTCTGACGCCAAATCCTCTTTCATCCTTGACAGCTGCGCTTACTCACCCCACGGTGCCTATGCCCAGAGCAAGCTAGCCTTGGTCTTCTTCACCTACCAGCTCCAGCACCTGCTGACCGCCTCCGGGAGCCATGTCACAGCCAACGCAGTGGACCCCGGTGTGGTCAACACGGGTCTCTACAGGCATGTCTTCTGGGGCACACGGCTCGTCAAGAAGCTACTAGGCTGGCTGTTGTTCAAGGTAAAAATCAAAATACAGCACCTCGTTTGATTCC